AATCTGTGGCCAAACCAAAAGTTAGGAAGATTTTCATGCTTCGTTCATCTCAGTTTTGTACTTTTAGGTCTCACATTTAGGTCTTCAGTATTCAGTGAACTTTTGAATGTGGTGTGTGGGGGGTGAGGGTCCTGGTTATTTTATATATATATATAGTTTATACAGTTGTAATGGCATTACTTGTTTTGGAAATTGTGACCGCCCCCACCCCAGCCTTGTCATCATGTAAAAAAAAATTGTTTATGCTGGGCGTGGTGGTATATGTCTTTAATCTCAGCTTTCAGGAGACAGAGGCAGGCAGATCTCTGTGAGTTCAAGGCCAGCCTGGTCTCCATAGGGAGTTCCAGGACAGCTGGGGCTACAGGGAGACCCTGCTTCAAAAAGACAAGAAAAAAAACCCAAAAAACCATCATTGATTATTATTATTATTGGGACAGAGTCTCACTATGTAGCCCTGGCTGGCCTGGAACACTGGGTATTGTGGTACACCCCTTTAATCTCAGCACTTGGGAGGCAGAGGCAGGTTAATCTCTGTGAGTTCGAGGCCAGCCTGGTCTATATAGTGAGTTCTAGGCTTGCTGTGGCTACAGGGAGACCTTGTCTCAAAAGACCAAATATATATATATATATATAATAGGACATTAATGGATATTTTACGACACTTTTTTTCATAAGAAAAATAGGTGTTTTTTTTCAAGCTCACTTTTCTCTGTTGCTGATTTTCTTGCTTTTTTGGGTCTGGTCTACATTTTAATAAGGTCACTTACTAGTTTTCATGGCTGATTCGAAAGATTATTAATATCCATTGTAAGAGATCAGTTTTAAATTTCATTTGAGATTGTTAGTGCAAGTTAGTCTGCATGAAGGAATGATAATTCACAATCCTTTGATGGGGATGGAACCATGTAGGTCATTTGAAAGGCAACTACTATGAGGAGATGACTGCTGTGGTGAAGCCTAAATGTCAAATTCACAAAATTCACAAAAAGCAATCAAGGGGTGTTGGCTAAATTTCAGAATTTCAGTTAGTGCTTTAAAATATCAAGCTTAAACAATCACAGATTGTCTCTATAGATTTCATTTTATTTTATTTTTTGTCTTTTTTGAGATAGGGTCTCCTTGTAGCCCCAGCCATCCTGGAACTCACTATGTAGACCAGGCTGGCCTCGAACTCACAAAGATCCGCCTGCCTCTGCCTACCAAGTTCTGGGATTAAAGGTGTGCACCACTATGCCTGGCAGATTTTATTTTCTTATTTTTAATATTTTATTATTTTTATTTTATGTGTATGAGTGTACTGCCTGCATGTATGTAAGTGCACCCATGTTATTCAGTGCCCAAGGAAGTCAGAAGAGGGCATTGAATCCCCTGGAACTGGAGTTACTGACAGTTGTTAGCTGTCACGTAGGTGCTGGGAATTTAACCCAGGTCTTCTGCAAGAGCAGCCAGCGCTCTTAACTGCTGAGCCATCTCTTCAGCCCCTACAGATTTTTTTAAAATTAAAAAATTATTTTAAAAATTACATGTGTGTCTGTGGGTGGGTATGTGCATGTGAGCACAGGTGCTTGTGGAGGCCCAGAGGCATTGAATTCCCCGGGAGCTGGAGTTTCGGGTGGTTGTGAGCTGCCCAACATGGCTGCTGGGAATTGAACGCTGGTCCTTTGGAAGAATAGTACATGCTCTTAGTCATGGAGCCATCTCCAGCTGTGTCTCTACAGATTTTAAAGTATCTCCTTCTTATATCCTTCTTATAAAGGATAAGTGTCAGCAGTGGAGAACAGTAATCTGGTCAGGACCCCTTTCACTTCCGAGCCTTGTATTTTGTTCTGTGACAGTATTTTCCCATCTGTAAGATAGGGATAATAGTAACTCACCCTTTGAGTTGTATAACTGAAGAAAGCATTAAAAATCACAATAATGTGGGGCTGGAGAGATGGCTCAATGGTTAAGAACACTGGTCGTTCTTGCAGAAGTCCCAGGTTCGAATCCCAGCACCCACATGGCAGCTAAGAACTGTCCATGACTCCAGTCCCAGGGGATCCGACAGCCTCTTCTGACCTCCGTGGGCATTGCACACATGGGTGCACTTACCTTCATGCAAGCAAAACATGCATACACATAAAATAAAAATCACGATAATATATAAGACATAATTATGGGCATTGGAAATTGAGATTAAAACATTGAAAAAACCCACGGTTCTATTTTTCTTCCTCTTGGTGTGCTTTTCTAGGTGAAATGTGCCTCTTGGGAGCAGTTGTCTGAGCGCCTGGGATAAGCTTGGGCTGCACAGATGGATTATGCTCCCGAAGGTAGTGCTCCCTGAAAGATTTAGAGAGGCTCAGCCAGCAGCATGTCCATAGAAGCCTGAAGTACATTTATTCTACAAAATGAAAAGTAAATAGAAGAAAAAAATGTCAGGGATCCTATTTTAAAAATAAACGTAAGAAATCAAGGACAGAATTATATTCAGAGTTACACATGCCATTATTATTCACAGATGTCTTGACGCTCTGAAATTTGTATTGTTGGACTTTTTTTTTTATTTAATTTTTATTTTGTCTTTTTGAGACAGGGTTTCCCTGCAGTCCAGCTGTCCTGGAATTTACTATGTAGAGCAGGCTGGCCTTGACCTCACAAAGATCCACCTGCCTCTGACTCCCAAGTGCTGGGATTAAAGGCATGCACCACCACACCCGCATTTGTTTGAACATTTTTAACTATATACAGCAGTATTAAAAACCTGAAGTCATAGAGTTAAAAAAAAAAAAAACAATGACAGAAATTGGAATGAAATAAACCAAATATAAAGGTATTTGAATCTTTGAATTTAAATTGAAAATGAGAAATGGAAAGTTGCTAACTTATCCACAGGATTACTGGGACCCACTGAAAGTAGGCATCCCCTGGTAACCTCTGAACTAATAGCAGTCACTTTCAAAAGTCTCGTGATGGTGATTGGGAGGAAAATCAGTTGGACGTGGGCATGCAAACCTTTATTCCCAGCACTTGGGAGGCAAAGGCAGATGGATCTTTGAGTTTGAGACTAACTTGGGAATTCAGACCAGCCAGGGCTACATGGTGAGACCCTGTCACAAACAACCCCCCCACAAATGTACTAAAAATCTCTGTACAAATAGCTATGATTTGGGCTAGAGAGATGGCTCAGCAATTAGGAGCACTGGCCTCTTTTGCAGAGGATCTGGGTTCGATTCCTAGCACCTACATGGCAGCTGACAACCCTCAGTAACTCCAGTTCTAGGGGATCCGATGCCCTCTGCTGACCTCCTTGGGCACTGCACAACACAGGTGCATTTACATGCAGGCAATATAGTCACACACATAAAAATGAATAAAAACGCCAGGTGTGGTGGCTCATGCCTTTAATCCTAGCACTCAGGAGGCAGAGGCAGGAGGGTCTCTGTGAGTTCAAAGTCAGCCTGGTCTACAAAGTGAGTTCCAGGTCAGCTGGGGCTAGGGAGACCCTGTCTCAAAAGGACTGAAAAAAAAAAAAAGGAATAAAATGAAAATAGCTATGATTTAGAAGACTTTCCTTCTATTTAATCTATGTGTAGAATGAATATCAAACAAGCTGTCATTTTGTCTCAATTACATATACTCACAAAAGGCAAGAGATTTACTTTATATCAAAATTTTTATTGGAAAAACTACAAATATTTTTTAATATGATCTTCCAGTGATTCAGAATCATGTTTTTCATTTCAAGAAATGTTTATATTTTAGAAAATTCTTCCTCAGTAAATAAAAAAAAGCTCTACTGTTGCGAAATCTCTTTCTTTTTTTTTTTTTTTTTTTTTTTTTATCTTTTTGAGACAGGGTCTCCCTGTAGCCCCAGCTGTCCTGGAACTCACTATGTAGACCAGGCTGGCTTTGAACTCACAGAGACTGGCCTGCCTCTGCCTCCCCAGTGCTGGGATTAAAGGCGTGTGCCACCATGCCCGGCCCTCAAAAATACATCTTTTAAAGATGTTTAACATAGAGATTGGGGATGTATCTAAGTTGATAGTATAATTGCCTAGCATGCATCAAGCCTTGGGTTTGATCCTGCATAAACCAAGCATGGTTGCATACTCAAGGTTATCCTTGGCTACATAGTCTGAGGCCAGCCTGGCCTATGTGAGAGTCTAATTTGGATTTAGCAAAATTCTTCACTTCCACTTCTTCCCTCTATTACTATAGTTATTTGTGTATTTACTTTCTTATTTGAGTGTCTCATGGATCCTTGTTTAATTCATTTATTTTGCCTTTAGTGGACAAGACAAGGGCAAATAGATTTTGGCTGTAGTTTTCAAGTGCAGTAGGCAGCAATACTTGATAAAGCCAGAAGATGGTGGTGGTGTCCATAAAAGTAGATCATCTGTTTCCCTGCGTTGCTCAAAGTATTTTCACCCTTTCTATTTTCAAAAGCCACACAGAACCTAAACTTCTAAATCATCAAAATTTGGGGAGGTCAATATATTAATATATTATGCAATATTAATATATAGTAATTATATATAGTAATTATAGTAATGTTGGTATATATTAGGCTCACACAAGCATTCAGGGAGGTCTTTGCCTCTCAGGGCCTTGGTATACAAATATTACATTAATTTTTTTTTTTTACATTCTATGTGTCTGTATGTACACACTTGGAGGTCAGAGGATGACTTCGTGGAGTTGGTTCACTCCTTCCACTACATGGGTTCTGGGAGCAAACGGAAGTTGTCAGGCTTGGCTGCAAGTGCCTTTACTTGCTGAGCTATCTTGCTGTCCCTAAATACTGCATTTTTACAATTGAGATTATGAACCTGCAATTAAGTGATTCTTCTTTAAAGACTGCATGCATCTTGTAGTGTTAAGGTGCCCAAGTGGCTCGTTCTTCTTTCATCTCTCTCCCACCCTTTATGACCTTTTGCTTTTCCTCTTCCCATTACTGTTGTATACATGGTGATATCTTACATTACCAACCTATTGTGATTTCTACTGTAAGATGTAGCATGCAGTTTCCAATATTCTACATAAAATGGTACGTAATATAAATTTCTGGCTTGGTTAATGCTATAACTCCGGGGATTTTGAGGGACTAGCTTGGGTGGAATGTTACCAACTAAAGTCATTTACCAATTAAAGTCATTTACCAATGAGTGGCTGCTTTGTTTAACAATTATGTTTTATTTCATACTTAAAGGTTCATGGAGGCTCCTAGAGTTCTTTCATCCTAAGGATAACTGCACGTAGTTCACTTCTGTTTCTGTGATATCAATTCCTCCTCATATGACAGACTGGATTAATTGGTGTAGGATAAATGTGGTTATTGGAGACTACCGCAGTGAAGGGCTGATCTCATGTTACAAATGAATCCGAAAGGTGAAAGGAACACCTGAGCACCATGCATCACATCCCAGGCCCAGATCTAGGTTTTGGGAGAGTTCAATGAGAAAAAACCCACGATCAGTGCCCTCAGAGAGGGTGGGAGTGGAAAGAGAGTACCCCAAACCAAGAACCCCAACGGTGCTGCCTGTAATCCCACCACGCAGGATGCCAGGGGATGGAAGATTGCGAGTCCAAGGCCAGCTTGAGTTGACCACGAGACTGTCAAAATAAATAACATACAAATTCATATAAAAATTAGGAGAGAGCTGCAGGGACAGTGTGTGTCCAGTGTTCAAGAGAAACCGCGGCCAAGGGGCTCGAGCACTCCGGCCAGGGGCCCAGCGTGGAGCGGCTCTGCCCACCTTTCTCTTCCCAGTGATTCGCCCCAGTCCGGATTCAAGTTCGAATTAGACCCCAACCGGCCAGGACGACGAAGGCCTAGGGACAGCGACTTCCCGGCTCAGCGGGGTCCTGCGGCCGCACAGCGCGCTCACCAATCCTCCCCCGGCTCCTGCTCGGCCCTCCTTCGCCCCGCAGCAGCGGCTCTAGCTCGGGGCGACGCCCCTTGCCCGCGCGCTGCGCCTGGCCGCACGGCCCCCAGAGGCGGGCACGGGGTGGCGCGGGGCGGGGCGAACGGACGCCATCGCGTCGCTACCGGCCGGCGGCGGGCTGGTCAGGACCGAGC